AAGATCCAGGTGAAGATCCACTTGAGCCCTGCATGTGATTTAAGCAAGCCCTGGGCTGAGGCCAGCTCCCATTTGTGTCAAGTGAAGATTTTCCATTTACTTCATTTACTTCCATTTACTGGAACAGGCCCAAGCAGAATGGTATAACAAGTAGTAGTTTTATTCAACAAGAGAAATAGCCTTTTCCCTGACTCCCTCCTACTCCCACCAGCTGCAGGTCAGATCAGCATTCCTGCTTTTCAAGCTGAATCTTCCACTGGGTGGCATTTTGTTGGCCATCCACAGTGGCATTTTTAAAGAAGAAAAAGATTTGTTCCACTGCCAAGGGTGACAGCTTCACATTATGAGTTGGACTATGTCTGACTCAAGCGTCCCCTCATTTTCTGAAGAACACTGTGTTGATTTTATACCCCCTTAGTTTCTAAACTGGGAGAATCATACTCTTGCTGTGGTTACATTTTTCTTTAAAAACATATTTTATCTTGGAGTGGTGGTAGGAGCCCAGTGAAATACACAAGTTGAAAAGACAACAGAAACATTTTTGCCAAGGAAGGATGGATGTAAGCAAACCTGGCTCTAATAACCATGGAAACAAAACATGCATGGCAAAAAAATTATTCATGCTGTTTGGAAGACTGCTCTGGAAGGCAACAACTTACAGCCTTTGAGGCAACACAGGAAAACATCACAACAAAAAAGAAAGGAGAGATGGGTCAACTTGTCCTTGTTTCTCCAAGGATGTAATTCAGATTTCATCTCCCAGGAACTCACAGTATATATGCCTCACATCTCACCACTAAATTCATCGTCACCCTTGCAGCCACCCTGTGCCCATGTAAGTGTGCAGATAGTGAGGATGAGCTCCTTCCCTTAAGGCTGCCTTCAATCTGCCCTGAAGGCTAGGAGCTCTGAGTTAAAGCCCAATGCAGTACCAAAGCCCCCACAACCTGCAAGCTTTGGCAGAAGGATAATACATAAAATAGATACTATGCCATGCTTGGCTCACTTCAGTTTTCCCAGTTCACTGTCAGCCCGTTGCTCCCAGAGCTGCTGTACACATGTGGAACTTCTCTCTGCACATCTGAGCAACCAAACTCCTCACCAACCCACCAAAGAGAAACCACACGTACCTCCTGGCACACTGCACAGTGCCTGAAAAACAGCGATAGCATTTAATCCTCTTGGCAGCCCATTACAGCAGCTTTCAGACTCCAAACAAGCTGTACACCGCCGCAGCCTTCCTTGTAAAATTATTTATCATGAGTTGGTTTATAGAGTCTTTTATTAGCTTCATATTAGCTAATAATGGCCTGGAGGTCTTGCATCCATCGGCTTGATGGATTCCGTGTTTACGAGGCAGGGAGCTTGACTCCTGGAGGAGATTTGCCGTCTGGAGTCACACTGTCTGCTGGACCTGGATTGAGGGGATATGCTGCAGTGAGGCATTGGGTTGGAGGGACTGTGTTGGGTGCCTGTATGCTTGTGTTCTTGCTCTGGTGAGGACTTTTCCAGCAGGAATGAGATGTGCTTGAGTCTGACAGTGTCCCCAAATGAAGCCATCCATGCTAAGTACTGTGAAGCAGTGTTATCTTAAGCTTTGGATGGTAGCCACCTCTCTGGGAATCACTGGGGGTATTCAGGAGTTTGCCAGTTGTGATCTGTCCTGGATTCCCAGGCCTGAGAGCATTCCTTTCCTCCATGCCCATGAACATTATGGGTACACACTCCTTTCTTCAAATCCCCAGGAAATGGGGATAAAGCCAGGCCAAAGAAAAAAACACAATTTGTTAATTATAGCAGATACTAACAGGTGGGAAGCAATGCAGAACAAAAACATCTTTGCCAGGTAACGACAGGCCAGTGGCTTTTCACTCAGTGACCTAAAATACAGGTGTGTTTAATGGTGTTAGAGTAAATACACAGGGATTTCAGCATATAAAATAATACTCATCTACAAATTACCAGCAACTGTAAGATGAAAAGTCCAGAGATGTAGGTAGCATCTTCTTTAGAGGCTTTCTGAGTGCTTGTTTTCACATCCTTATATAGAAATGCAGAACAAATACGGTGTAGAAGAGGAGAAAGCTCTTCTACAATTTCATTTTTATTGGCCTTAATAGGGAAGAGCCGTAAGGGAAAAGGTAAAAGCATTTGTTTTGGAAAATGACTGCCAGCTTTGGAGAGACGTAGCAGGCAGAGAGCAGCACAAAGTGTATTGGAAGAACCTCCTGTTTCCAAATAAATCTTCAAAATAAAAAGTAAATGTAAGAAGCAAATAGGCACTCCATAAGAGTGCCATTTTTTCTTCTTTCTAACTTGCTTTTAATTTATGGTGAGCTCTTTGCAGGCAGCAAAGTCAGGAGACTAATTGATCCTATTGATTCAATGTCAAGAAACAGTTCTATTGGGTTTAGGCAAGAACAGTGGTGACCCAAACACAGGGATTTTTTTCCTCTCATTGCAGGGAGGGCAGGAGGCAGCACTCAGGATTTCTGACAGCTCAGCAGCCAACAGAAAGAGGCAAGGGAACTCAAACATGGAGACAAGCACAGGCACTGTGGGTCAGCTCCAGTAGCCCAAACACATCCCATGGGCATATCCAAGGGTTTGATGGCCTTATACTCTCCTGGGCTGGCACAAGAGCACAAGGCATTTTTTTGGGGTTGCTTGCCCACTTGAGGCACCCACCCCATGTTCACCTCCTGCCCAACACTGGGAGCCAAAGGAACTCTCTGACACAAGGCAGGCACTGGTGAGGTTTTTCAGTTCTCTCAATAGCATTTTGCATGAGCCATAGAAACCAGATGGCCCCAACATGAAGTCAGAGCACGGCAACCTCTGTTCTTTACATTTTCCTAACTTCCCCTCAAATCCATTAGTCACACAGGTCATTCTCCTGCAAGGTTAAATGAAAACCTCAGCATGTTCCCTACCTGCCAGATAAAATTAGAACTTTCATTGCACAGCAAGCAGACACCCTTCCCTTTCTCCATGGGAAGTCACGAAATTATCACCAAGCTGCTTAAGTGTGACAGCAGAAAAGGTTTGGAGGAGAAGTTTAGAAGCAGGAGAGCAAGATGTGTTTACTGCCAGCTCACTGCAGTGAGAAAATGTAAAATGGTTTAAACCACTATGTAAGAAGTGCTGGTTTAGCATCATAACCAGGATGGCATTTTGTAGGAGCCTGGAAAATACTCTGGGGCCAAGGTGGCTCAGCACATGAGAAAAAGATTCAGTCCAGGAGATTTAGAGACTCTTGAAATACTACTTGGCTCAAATATCTTCGCTCTTAGTTGGCAACCAGATTGCATTGAAGGCTGCACTTTTACTGAACCAGGAGGTTTGAAGGATGCAAAAGACAATCAGGTGAAAGAGTCCTTCACCTTACATTGCTTCTCAATGCATGGAAGACTTCTCCAAGTGCAGAGCTCTGCCACTGGTCTCCTTCCAGCTCTGTCCAGAACCATGTCATTCCTCTAACACCCAGCTCAGTACACTTTCCATTTCCAGAAACAGCATTTCTCCAGGTCACACTCTATAGACATCAATTCCAGGCTCTATTTTGGGGACAACAGGCACACTGCTTAGGAAAGTATCCTGGCTCCCCCGTCACAGTCCAAGGGCAGAGGAGACAGCTAAGACACAAATTTCCTTATTCTGTGTATTTATGTGAAAGTCAGACTCAAGTCAAACCTTGTCATGTACTATTTCCCCCTCTTCTTTGCAGGCAGCTCCTTCAACTCCCTCCTTTGGCTGCAGATCCCAAGAAAGATGCTTTTGACTACTTTTCCTCTGCTAATCTCTTCTGTGCAAACAACAAGTACCCAAGTCATTTTCTTGCAAAGCTCCCAAAACCGTGGAGGAGCACAAAGGGTCTGAGATGATGAAAATGGTCACTAACTGCTTATGCACAACGAGAGGTATAAAACAGACACTGACTTGGGCAGGAGAGGGATTTGCAGAAGGACATCTCCATCTGCTGTGCATGGAGCAAAAACCCCCACAGCAGAACAGCACTGCTGCTTCCAAGCAGGCTGAACTCACAAAAAGGAGCCCAAGGGCTGATGTGCATCCATGCATGAAGACACAAGACTCCTGTTCAAATAGTTAGGTGATGACCACAGTATGTTGTGGTCTTTGGCCTCACGTTGGCTGTCCAGAGTCTGGAAACATACCTGAAAGCCAGTGAGAATTAGCCTCACTGTCCACCTTTTGGCCAGCTTTCTAGGAAACATTTACTACTGATTTCACAGTTCTAAGCTCAGGCTGTTGCCAGCACACAGCTTGCTATAAAAGAAGAATAGAGGTTCTTATTATTATCAAAATCCTTCAGGGAGTGGTGGAAATGAAAGACAGCTCTTTGATTAGGTACAAATACTCCAACAGCTGAATGATGAGCCTGGCAGCTCCCCAGTCTCTCATTCTCCCACCTGTGCTGGGAGAAGAATTTGCTCTCCAAAACCTGCATCAGCCTGAGGGCTCTGCAGAAGGGAGGAAAAGGTGGCCCTGGGGTCAGTGGTTGCAGCTTGAGTGTTTTTCCAGTTATACTAACACCATGAATGAACATTTCCTTTGCCAAAGAGGCTACAAGACAGGAAATACCCCCTCATGAACAAACCCCAGCTGTGCCATCACAGCTGGCACACACAAAACACTTGATACATACATGAAACCCCAGGGGCTTGATATCTGCTTTTATCCCAGATGGAAGGATGATGTCCTCCCCTATGACCCTCCCCTCCTCCAGCCACCACTTCCTTCTCCATCCCTTCACAGGAACACATTTAGAGTCAAATCTGCTCTCAGGGTCCACAGTGATGCATGGCAAGGAGCCCTGGGGGTGTGCAGTAGATGCACCCAGCACTGGTAATGAGGGTTCTGGGGGAGCAGGAGAGGGAGGAAGCCAACGCCAGCTAAACACACAGACAAACTAAAGACAGTTTTGCTGCAGGGATTTAAAATCTAGGAGTGAATCAGCTGTCTGCTGAACGAGACGTTACCATGCAACAGTGGTCCAAACGCTCTTGGTCCCCCACTGATAGAAGTGTGGCAAATTGCTCTTCTGTCAAAAGCTGAGGATCTCATGCTGAGGCTTACTGGAGTTCACCTGCCTGAGAAGGAGAAGAGGCTTTTTAGTAGCCTGTCCTATAATGAACTGTCAGAGAAACGGGCACACCTGAAACAGTAGAATGAATTCAGTAGAAACAGCAGCACTGAATTCAGACACAACTGATTAAAAATAAGGCAGATGTTCCAAATGAAGGCAATTAAGCTTTTGACTCAGTCAACAAGGCAAGAGGTGAACCTTGCGGGAGTTTCCAAAAGAAGAACATTTTTAATTTGAGGTACGCAATGGCCAAACTTGTTCTCAACATGAGCCCAATGACAGGTGGGTAACTTTCACAGCCCCTGATGAGCAGACAGCTAAACAATAGAGTCTTTCAATTGAATCTTGCAGAAAATAAGGGGGTGATACTTGACCAGACCTTTTCTGGAACTGTCCGTGACCATGCTGCACTGCAGCTACCTGGTGAAGGCAGGAGAATAACAGAATAATTGGGGCTGGTGAAGGCTTTTGGAGGTGTCAGAGCAAAGCTAGCTCACAGGAGGTTGCTCAGGGCATTTTTTTACTTGAGTTTTTAATATCTCCGAGGTCAGAAGTTTCACAGCGCCTCTCAGCGTTTGCTTCAATGTTTGATCATACAATCATCTGAGCTGGAAGGGACCCTTAAAGGCCATGTAGTCCATCTGCCTTGCAATGAACAGGGACATCCACAGCTCCATCAGGTGCTCAGAGCCCCATCCAGCCTGACCTTGGGTGTCAGCAGGGATGGGGCACCAACACCTCTCTAAGCAACCTCAGCCAGGGCTTCACTACCCATACTATAAAACACTTTCTTACCATGAAAAAATTTGCCTAATATTAAAATTGAATTTTCCTTATGGAAACGTGCACCCAGAGGAAGTATGGGCATTGCTAAAAATGACCTTAGAGGTGGGAAACATCTTCCCAGGCCCAGTGCAGATTGCTCTCCAGGGTAGGTGAGAGAAAGCCTTGCAGGACAGTGCCAGCATCCCCCTGTTGGGCCCTTCCTGCTGATCTCAGCAAGCTGCTGTGTGGTCTGTGTGGAGAGATTGCAGCCTGCCAATACTTTGCTCTTTTCAGCTGCTTTAATTACTCTCTTGTAATAATAACTCTTCCCCTTCTTCTATGAAGAACAGATGATGGACACTGATCACGGGTGTTTCAAACACTGCTGTGTCTATCAAGAGAACACTTTCCAACCACCTTCCCCACCTCCTTAGATCAGTGGGGGATGAGCTTGCAGCACCGACTCCAGAGCCCTAACTTCATTGGTGACGGCACTGCTAACACTGATATTAAAGTAAATGCTTTCCATGTTGGGGCATGAGTAACAATAGTCAATATTTTGGTGAGGCTGAATTACAGGCAGCAGTTGCAACAGCTGCCTTCAGTTTTGGCTCTAACACCCTGCTCCCCAGTGAGGTACAACACACCATTTGATGAATTCCACACTCTATTCTTCGGTTACAGTTTATTAAAAGATGGATTAAAACATTGGCACAACAGTGGCCACAAGAATATTTTTCCAGCAACATCATCCCAGAGGGCTTTAAAGACGTAAAATTGTGTCTAATTCGGGGCACCATTCATATGCAGTTTGAACCGGTGTTCAGAAAACCAATGCTCACTGTTAAAGCAATATTTTAAAAAGTAAGAAACAAAACCATGTCCTCCTTTGACTCAAGGAATACACATTATCACAAGTGTGATAACATCTGAGAAGCACCTTTTGGGCTTTAAAGTCAAAGGAAATACACCAGCAAGACACTGGAAAGACTTCATTTGCCAGCAGCTGGCACAAGTGAGCAGTAAGCTCAGTACCAAGCTCAACAAGTTGCCGTTTCCACTGTGCTGCCTGGATCCAGAATTTAACACAAGTTGTACAACAGGGTCATAAGATTCCTTCTGGCTTTCAGAGAAAAAGTGAGACTGACTGCAATCCAGGCCTTAACATCATGGAAAAATCATCACGGGTAATTGAGTTAGTTCCACACAAGTTATAACTCAGGAGGAGGCAGGGAGATGGTGGGAGCTGAAGTCGACACAAGCCAAAAAGCAGCAACCTGCCCCCATGTGCTGTGAGCTGAATTCCCCCTGCTCACCCCTTTGCTTTTCCTGCCAAGCATGCAAACAATCCAGGAAAGCTTAGCCAAATGCTTTGGTGTGAATGAAGGCAGGACAGAGAGCAAGGCCTCAGAGAGGGATTGATCTCTGCTGCACTGGGAAGCAGAATGCAGCTGTCTGCTGTATGCCAAACTGATAATTCAACCACCATCATGGAGGTGAGAGGAAATACCACCCTGCTCAGCTCAGCATTTCCCTACAGATGAGATGCCCAATCCTTCAGACCACACCAACAGAAAGTGAACAGATACATTTCTATGCTGGCTTTCATCAACATCTCCTCTCCTTCTGTAGGTGAGCTTAATGCTCACGAACCACGAGCTTCATGCCATGAACCATTCAACTCCAGTCAGAGACTGAAGACTCAAGCATTACCCCAAATATTTGACACATCTCATGCTGATTGACCTGTGTGAGAAGGAACGTCCCAAAGATCATTTGCTGTTTCTTCTTCCCTAGCCTCCTAGCCTCACATTGAGAAAGTGAAAAAAGTGAATATAACCTTTCACAGGATCACAGTAAGACAGAGAGATGGCAAGGAGGAATTCTGAAGTTGCAGGGCTGCCATTTGCTGGCATCAACCAGGAATGTGCTGCAGCCAGCCATGGAAATGTGGGCACTAATTATATGATAGCAACAAAGAGATGATTTATGGAGTTCTGTACATGCTGCAGGAATGGGGACCCCAGCAGGCTTGGTTCAGATGTTCCTTTGTGGGACTCACAGCTTCATCCATGAAACTCCGGAAGATGCCTTTACCAATTCTTTTCACCTGTACTTGGTTTCATGCAAGCTCCCAACCCACTCTCCTGTATTTCTTTGGAAACCAGCTTGCATACAAGCGAGCTTAACTCTGGAGCAGTGCATATTGTGTCTCAGAGTTGGGCTGACAAAAGGATGCTGCCTGCAGAGATGAGTAAATGCTGTCTCTAAATGCGTACCAGTGGCGTCCTCTTCACATCTCCTCCCCAAACTAGACAGATTTCCATACAGCTGCTCATTACCAACAGTATCAAACCTCAGATTTTAAGATCTGCTACTGAATACTGAAGACAAGACAACTTGAATGCAACCAAGAAAAAAATGAAGGTAACAACACTAACAACCTCCATAAGACTGACACCATCCTATGCAAGCCAACCACATGCTGTACCCATAGCCCATCCCTCCCACCTGAAATAACTCCCTTTTCCTACAGATGCACCCAGCCCAGACTTGCAGATGTCAAGCACAGCTCCATCATACGGGCTTCCTGCAATTGGAACAAGAGCTTTTCATTAACGTACGAGGGGAGAAGCAATTTGCTTTGCTTGCAGCTTCAGCCAAATTGGGCCACACATGCAGAAGCTGGGGGTTTACATTAGCACAGCTCCAATGACTTTTGCCAGACCATAACAGCTGTCCCCCATGTCTGTGGCAGGTTGAGTTCAAGTTGAACCCCAGAATAGCAGTCAGAAGACAAAAATTAACTCTTCCAGTCTATTTCCCATATGTTCTATTTTGGTGCACAGCTTCTTGCAGTAGAGCAAAAACCCTTATATGCTGACATAAGCATTCACTATAAACATTTCAGGGCTACCAGTCAACACTCCTTTCATCTCACCACTTAATGGAGCTGTCATCTGCACAGGGGACCTCACTCAGAGCCTGATGCAAGTGTTAGGTCTTCAGAATGAAAACATCCGCAAGCGTTCACACCTTAACATGTCCTCTTCTCAGAAAGGAGAGTGTATGCTTAAAGGCACAGCCATTGAGAGCTGCCACAGGCTTCTCAAAGAGAGTAAAGCTTAAGGGAAGGGTAATTTCCACCCTGCACTTCAGACATTTTTACATCTGCAGTGATAGCAGTTTCTCTGAGGCAAGGACAGGATAACCAGACAATCCCCATCAAGGCTTTCATCTATAAACATAGCAACAATCATCCTATGAAGAGAGGATCTTCTCCTCATCCAGGGTGCTGCACCTTCCCCAAAAAGGGTCACTCTCACCAAATGCATGGTGGCATGCAAAACTACCAGAAGGTGAATTGGTTTCCCTGGGAACTGAAGCATCATGCAAGCAAGTAGGAGCTCTTCCATATGCCAGCCCCAGTATGTACTGCTGTGCTGATTACAGCCATAGCAATGATGGCACCAGGGTATAATGAGCATCTTCTAGCAAGAGAAGGTAAATGCATGCCACAATAGGCCACTGAATAGCTTTAAATACAGTTGGGGCTGGCTTTCTGCCAAAGCCATGCTCAGCTGACAGTGATTTGTGACGAGAAATGAGTCTCAGCTTTGTTTTAAGTGCTGGAGCTGCATCCCCAGGGCTATAGAGGGTTTTTCTGACAGTGGCATCATTTAAACTAAGAATGGAGTTCATGCAGTGTAGTTTCGAGGTTGGGTTCGATGATTGGTTTTCTTTGCTATGTGAACCTATAACTGAAGTACTAAAGGCTCATGCAAATAGCTCTCATGTAATAAGAACATAATTTTATTTTCTAGGAATACGTTTCTAGTCCACAGAGCCAAACACCAGAGGAGACTAGATGGAAGGCTGTGGAAGTGGTCCTCCTCCCTGGGTTTTGTGTTGTTTCCAGGAGGGGAAAGGAGCTCCCACTTCTATTGCTAAGGGATAGAGTCATGCTACTAAGAGGTCATGCAGGTGGCCATACAGAGTGTCCCAAAGCTCCATGTTAGGACTTATACCAAGAGCAGAGAGGCAGGGAGGAAGAAGTGAATGTGCATTGACCCTTTAAGTCCAAAGTCACTTGGCCCCGGTCCCAATTAAGACCACACTGTAGCAAGCACATATCTAATCTCCAAGAGGCCACTCCAGGCCTCCCATTTAACATTTAAAAGTTGTTTCTCTTCTCAGCTTCAGGTCCCCGGAGTGTTCATGTCTCACAGCACAACCAAC